GAACGGGTAGAGTTTTTCCAAAAAAAATTGGGCGGCAAAACAGATTATGTTTCTCAATTTATTTATCTTTCTAAATTTTAGCTCAGCAGAGTGGAGCGGGCTGAGCGGTTGCTATTTGCCAGTGCCTTTTGTATTTGATTTCTGATTGTTAGTCAACAGTCAGTTTTTTTGTTAGTCGGTAGTTAGAACAAGTGAAAGTTCTTCAACAGGCTGATATAAAACGTAGGGAAAATTTTGCGAAAAAAAACCGGACAAAAATCAATTTTTTTTCTCAATTTTTTTAAATCAAATATGTTTGTTTTTCAGAATAATTTATCAGAAAATATACCATAGATGTTGGCGGACAATCAGAAAAATCAAAAACATGCGTAATAGGAGAAGTCTTGTTCTCCTAATTTTTTAAATCGATAGAGTAGAGGGGAGCAAAATTGGTTTCGGTTATCTTTGTATGATTCTACATCACAAACTAAGTGTCACAGGGACACGCCTGACAAAGTGATTGAAATATCATATTTAGGCATTTAGCCATGATTAAATCAATGAGAAAACTTTTTGCGCTTTTTCCAGTGTTTTTCTCTATAAAAGAATTTTCTAGATTCTAATAATACCTGCTTTTGAAGATTTTCTTAACAAAACTCAAAAAGACTGAAAACGAAATCCCGACAGACATAAATTTTGACACTAAACTTGAAGAATACTGCTCGTATCAGGGCAAAACCTTTAATGTTTTGACTGCCTTTTAAGGTTTACGGAGCATTAATAATCTAAAAAAGTACAAATAATAAAATAAAATGAATTTTTCTTTCAAAAATTTGAATGATTTTATGAAAATCATCCCCCCACTCGCATTATAAACTACAAAGGGATAAAATTTGCTTCTTGTAACAAATAAATTATGGCAAATAAGCTTCTTCAACCAATTTGGAACGATTTCTAAGACGGATTAAATCTCCGCTTGCACGTTAATAGCGCGAAATTTATCGCACGGTAACTGTCCCAGATTGGATAAAATGGCAATCTTTAAACACCCACTGGAAATCTTAAAACTTTACGAATAATGATCACAGGTGAAATATCGTTTGAAATTTGAGCTCAGGATAACAATATAATTTGAATGATATTTAAAAAATCTGTCAGAAATGGCTAGTTGAAAAGTCGAGACTTGTCTGAAGAAAAAGAAAACCCTTCCCGAGCACAAATACTCCGTTACTTTCGTATCGAAAGTGGGAACAAAATGCAATGAGAAATTGAATAATATTTAGGAAAACTGCACTTATCAAAAAGTGAGATAAATCATAATATTTAAAGTTTCTAAATAAAAATATAAAAAACTTCGAAAAGCAAGAAAATACTCTTGTTGGTTATATTATTTTATTAGTTAAACTATTCAGATCCTGTAATTTTTCTTACCGACCAGATTTCTACTAGCCCTTGTTTTCTCCTAATGATCTTGATTATTCCTTCTGATCAGATTGTTTGAATATTAATGCGGGAGAAACCAACAAACATAAAACTAGAAACGAATTCAACGAGAAAACCTTAAAAAAGATTGATTGCAGATAGATATATTCCTTGCTGATTCCTGCTTATTAGATAACTACAATAAATCTCAATCAGCAATTAAACTAAATCTGTTTATCGATCAAAACTTTGACAAGAAACTAGACAAGACTGCTTGTATCAGGGCAAAGCCCTGAATGTTCCGCAAAGCCCTGAAGGTCTATGGAGCAGCAATAACTTAAGAAAATTAAATGTAATAAAACAAATTGAAATTTTTTTTCTAAAATTCGAGATTTGTCGTGAAAAACCATCGCCTCACACGCCATATAAAGTACAAAAGGATTAAGTTTGCTCCTTTTAACAAATCAATTACAGCAAATAAGCTTCTTTTAACCAATTTGGAACGATTTAAAGACGGATTAATCTCCACTAACTCGTTAATAGCGCAAAAAATATAGTCTCAATTTTCTGTCGAAAAAGGCTAGTTTAGAAGTCGAAATTTGTCTAAAAAAATAAACCCACCCGAGCACAATTACTTCGTTACTTTTGTTACGAACGTCGGAACAATATGGCTGTATATTTCTATGCTGTTATCAATTATTATCAGAATATTTTTCGAATAATTGATTTGTTTTTAACCAATTCTAAAAAGTTTCCAAGCAAATCTGGAATTTTTTAAAAATATTATGTCAACTGCTTTGATTTTTGAAGATGACTTTGAACAAATCTTGAAGATGATTTTGAACAAAAGATGAATTTAACAAATCAGCCAATTATAAAAAAAAATATTTCAACTTTTAGAACCTGAAGGAAGATTATCCGAAACTTGAATTGACAGTTAATCATAACAGTTCGTGTTAGAACTGAAATCTACCAAATGACACTCTCTTGTCATTAACCACAAAACCATCCCTAGAGACAACAAAATCATAGCACTCACTTTTCCAATAAAATTTTGAGGAGTTTCAATCACTAAACTCAGCAACCAACTAACTGCGCGCAATAAGTTGATTGGTATCGACACTGAAAACCTAAATTTTTCTTTTATCATGACGAAATGCTTTTTTTTTAATTCTCACCTAAAATCGTTGTATTTGCGATCAACGAGCTTGAGCAAAATGTAAATTTCAATTGTTTATTTAAAAAAGTCGACATTAAACTTTTTTCATGACTGTTTACGGTCTATCCTATGCTTTTTTATGCAGTGCAATTCTTGATCACGTTTCCTTTGAAAATTGGCCCTTTTAAATGCAATTGTTTCAATTCTTATCGACTAACTTTTTTTATCATTTTTATCATCAGCACATGTTTTTAACATTTTTTCTTTTGTCTCAAAAAAAACAATCGGGGTTTTGCCCTTACCAGGGTCCCATTTTAAAATTTGAAAAAATTACCGAAAAACTGGAAAATTACCAGGACACATAAAAGTGTCTTCCATCTAAACTGTAGAAGTTCAAACCCAAAACGGACAGGTCTTAAATTAATTTTTTTGAACATATATGAAGATTGTTAAAATTTTGATTGACCAGAAGTTTGATTTAACGTTTCAAACGACGAAAAAAACTGTGGGCAAATAAAGCTCAACTTTTTGTCGAGTTGTCGAATAAAACATTACAATCAAAAGAGAGCCATTTCCAATCAAAACAAAAAATAATAATGAATACACTTGTCAATAGTCACCATCACTACCCAGCAGTTCTGTTACTCGGAATTTCAGCAAGTTTGATAGTTTCAAGTGAGAAGCAGAAGATAAGTTGGGCAATAAAAACAAGGTGTGACCGTGCAAAGTTTAACTTCTCGTCCAATCGGAAGACAGTTTTCTTACCATCTTTCAGCATTTTCCATATTTCTGAAAATTTTCCATTTGAAAAAATAGTTTTTTCTAAAAATTTTTGAACAATTAGGAATAACAGAACGCCAGCTTATCGAAAAAGGAAATTTGAAAACAATAAAACTGAACCCAAGAAGTAAAAACTGTTTTTACTGAAAGACATTGTGGTGAACACACTGAAAGTTTTTTTTTCAAAAGATCAATTAAGTTATGGAATAGTATTTATCAAAGCATAATTTTAGATAAAATTTTGAGTTAATGAAAAATTAGAGTAAATTTTAAAAATCATTTAAAATTTGTTTTTAATGACAATCACAATGTGACTGGTTATGATGAAAATTCATGGAAAAAATGTTCACTTAAATTTTAATTTGTAACTTTTCATTTGTTTGATATTTTTAGTTTTTTTCCTGATAACTGTTTTCAGTTCCTTTTAATGTTATTGCCAGAAAAAGTCTACAATGCTAGTTTTGATTTGAAAAGGTAGATGACAAACCCTTTTTATCGAATTAGTTACGATTTGAAAATAAAGTGTTCATTTTCCACGTTTATCGTAGTCGTGAATGTTCCGGTTACCAAGTTGTTGAATTTTTCAGAAAGAAAAAAAAATCAAACTATTTTCTTAAAATCATCCCCCTGTACGCCATGTAAATTTTAAAGTTTAAAATTGCGCTCTTAGTAACGTGGCAATTATGACATAAGCCTGCTACAGCCAATTTGGAACAATTAATAGAACAGATTAAATCTCCACCTATACGTTTAAAAGTTTTGGCAAATTTTAAACCGCATAACTTTACAAAAACTGATAAACAAAAAAATGGTTTTTTCAAATTGAGCTCAAGAAAACAACACGTTTCAGTTGATACGAATTCAAAAACTGTCTGGTGAAAAAACACTCCAAGCGAAAGTCTGAACATAACCAACATACCTGTTTTCATTTGGATCAGTTTTTGAGCCGGATTAAAAAACCGCTCACGCGTTAGTAGTATGAGATATATCGCACGTTAACTATTCCAAATTAACTGATTTGGCAATTTTCAAAATATCAATTTTTGCAAAAAAAATCAAAGGCAAATTATTTAATGAACTTTGAGCTCAAGGCATTAAAAATTTGTCTGGAGACAAAACCACACCGACCTTGAATATATGTATTTTTTTTTGAAAAGCGGAAAAATGAAGAAACTTTGATAAAATATAATTTTTGGACTGTCGCAATTACAAATATCAAGAAATAATATCAAGAAAACAAATATTTAAAACTTGATTCGTGCTAGAAAATAAATTGACTAATTAGATTGCCTGCTGTAATAAACATAGATAGGCCGCTGTCCACCCGCTTTGAAATACATAGATTTCAGGCTCGAACATCACTGCAATTTTTTTTTCAAATTTTTTTGAAAACACCAGAGTCACGTACCTTAATCTCTTTCCTCAAAAGTTGGAACAAAAATGACTCAATTACTTTATAAGTTCAGCCTTAAAATTTAAATGAAGTGGAATTATAATTTGTGACCTGACAAAAAGTAAATAAGTTTGTTCCAAAATTTGCGTCTGGAGTGTGAAAGAAATCCTCACCAAAAATTAAAAAAGTATTTAGACACTAAGAGGTGTTCAAAATACCCTGACGCAAATAGTATTTTTGGAAAAAGCTAAAAAAAAAAAGGCATACCGAGTACTCCTGGAATTCCGACGAGGCCATACACTATACAGAAGAAGTCATACGCCGGCTGAAGGTCCATAATCACTGGTTTGCCCGACTATTATAAATAGTGCCGCTCACTTCTTTCAGTAGTAAATTGGCGCCTTTAGTTCTTCTGTTAGCCGTGTTCGGCCCTATACTAAAACACAATAAAGCCCAGTTACCTTTGAAAACTGCACGGGCGAGGTTCTCTCTTTATATTCCGACTTTCAAAGTCAAACACGATGTCAGTGATTGGCTAAAAATAATAGTCAACAAGGGAATTGATTGTGTCGAGCACTAACTCGAAAAACATTTCGGGCACGGTAGGAACATTTCAAAGTTGGGTCAATTTTGGCCGGAACATAACTCGAGCACGGTCGATACGCAAATCAGGCAGGTTAAAACAAATAATTGCTGTCTTCAATTATTGTTCCGACCACTTGAAAAATGTGGAGGAACTTTGTATTCGGGTGTGTCTTAGTTTTTTTCTGTTTTTTCCACGCAAAATCAGGTACCACAAATAATCATCGGAATGGGTCGAGTGATATATCTTATAAGAGCCCATTTAGTCGTGATTCGAGCGACATTTAAAAATTTGAAAGCTAATTAGGTGATCGTGTCGGCTTACAATTGCTTATTTATGCTTAATTCAAGCCGTAAAAACCTAGTTTGAGAAACGTAGTCAAGTAAACTTAGTTCAGCGCCAAATTGTGAATCAAAAACTTCAAAGCTCAAAAACTTCGCAAACACATTGAAAAAATGCTTGAAACTTTTTTGAATTTACTTAGCGATTTTTTATTCGTTTTTCTTGTCATCTTTTTTACTAAAAACCGTTTTGCAAATGTCCTACTTACGTAATTCGCAGCAACAGCACAAAGCAAGAAAGGACATAACTTGCTAAACTTGCAAAATTCACAAATAACGTCTCAAAAAAATCCATTATAATCGAATATAATAGATTATAAGGGATATTATTGATAAAAAAAATATAAGATATATAATCCAATTTAAGTGGATTCTAATCGATTACTTTTGTAATTTCATGGATACTGACTATAAAATGACAATATAATCGATTATTGTCCATGAAACTCCAGTGCGGATTCCAGTCCTGATTCAGATGCAAAATCTATAACTTCGTACTTACCAATGAGCATGAAGGCAAATTTTTTTAGATTTAAAAAATTTATATGTTGAAAAAGTGGGTGGAAAAAAATTATATATGATCTACAAAGCTAGGGGAGCTGAAGCAAATAGGAAATAGGAAAAGCAGTTTTGACAAAAGAATGAAGGAATGCATTGACGTCAAAAAAACTTATAACGAAATCACAAACGTTGAACTAACAAGATGAAGGCAATTTTATGAAGCTCGTAAAAGTACACCAGAAAGTTAAAACTCAAAAAGATCAACCGTACAATCCCCCAGCTCGATTTAGGGGGATAAAATACCAGTTTTTCCAAAATTGATGTCAAGAGAGATCTAATTAAACAAAAAAAATCAATGTATACCAAATTATGATTAATATTTGACGCTATTAACATGATAAAAATAGCTATTCGGCATGAAAAAATTATCCAGCTTCATATTCAGCGCGCTTGTTTGAATGCATACATATTATTTCAAAATTAATACATGCTTGGGGAGGACATTCTACGGTAGGTCACTTAGGATCGGGGTGGGGGCGGAGATTGCACGGTCGGTTGATCCGTAAAACAAGTTGGAGTCATTAAAAAAAACGAAAAATTTCTTGTACACCATTTGTTGATGCGCTTATCCTGGACAGCCATTTTGAGCTAAGCCCAAAAACTCAACGCTTGATGCAACTTGACGCAAAGCTTGGTCTTAGGCGTCGATTAAGTAGCAAACCGGAAGAACTCAGTTCTTCCAGGTAAATATTGTTGTAACTCAAATTTACGGAAATTGATCTTAAGTTCGAAGCAAAATCCAATGTACCATCCAAAACATCTAAGTTATTATTTGCATTGGCTCAAAGGCTACACACGAGATTGACCAATGACTCATGAGCAGTATGTCAATTAAATTGGGTGAGGTACACAAGTATCACGAGATCGCTCTTGAATACATGTAGATCAATGAACCATAAAAAATTCGGATCACAAGGAATTTGGTCATTTTGATTTAACCCAACTTATAAAATCATCAGACTTGATAGAGTTTGACACTGGACACCACGTAGAAAAACAGGCTACTTAATTTAAGTTTAAAATTTAGTTTTAACCCACTTCAACTCGAACGAAAAATTGTAGAAACGTTAGAAAACGTAGGACAATTCTATTTCAAACAATTTGCAAACAGCTTATTCCGTAGGCACCGTCTGAAATTATGTAAATGACCTTGAACGGTTCGGTCACGGAATTAAAATGAATGCAATCTTAAAAATCTGAAATTAGGTCATTGGCCTTGATCCGGGATAAAATGAAACGTTGGATACAATTCGCAAATTGGTGATTTTCTATATCCCACTAAATATGGGAGATTACTTACAATTTTATCACACAAAGCTTAGAAGATTATTTACAAATAATCATCTTTTTCTTTCTAATTTCCGAACATCTGTATTTTTCAAAAAATTAGGACTGGTTAATTAGCAAGTAAAAACGGCTAGCCAGATGACAGATAGCGTTTTCTAGGCGACGAAAAATTGAAAATAAAAAAGCAAGAATATTTCAAGCTCTCAACAAAATCCAACTTCCGCCATTTTTTGGCATATACCACAAAACAAGTCAGCTCGTATCAATTCAAAAACACTGAATGTTTAGACTGCCATTTAGGTGGTCCCGAATAGTTTTTGTTAAATTAAGTATTGAAAAAACTATGAATTTCAGGCTGATATACTTAAATTTGAGTGTTGGAGTTTGAGTCGTGTATGGAACTAACAAAACCAATTAGCTGCTACAATTCAGTTTAGAAAGACTTTGCAGTGCGGGATAATTCGCTGGAATTGAGATTTATAAAATGGGAAGATAGCAACTTGCATGCGTGCTGATTAGCATGCGCAATTAAATTAATTACTCACTTCGATGCGGCATGTATCAGTTTAAGTTTTAGTTGCAACTGTGAGTGAGCAAACTCAATTCTTTTTGCGCTAATAGCCGCATGCTGGCAGGCGGGTCCACCGAGCAGCTTAGACTCGTGAAAAGTATCTGCAGTGGTGTGAATATCCGGCTGGACTCTTGCAGGTTAAGAGATGGATGCCCCAAAAGACTAAAGTTTGTAGAATAGGTCTGAATAAAAAACTACCCCGAGCATTAATATTCCTCACTTTCTTCAAAAATTGGAACAAAAAAACAATTTGATGTTTCATTGAGCTGAAATTGCTCAGCAGACTACTTAATGCCCGGGCCAAGCGTGTGGCGTTATGTTTGGACTATGATTAACAAACTTTAGTGTTCCAGACTCGGCAACAAAAATTGGGTGTTTCCAATGTGAAATACTCAGCAATCGGCGGCTAAAATTCTTTAAAAAACAGCTTCTTTACGCAAAGAAAAAAATCGCCAAAACTAGAAACAAAACGAGTAAATTTTGACTCAATTTGAATGGAGAGAGTCAAAAAACTCAACCCGAATGTTATTTCTGGGACCAGTATTTTTTCAGATTCCGATATTGGAAAAAAAATAAATAAAAAATCTCTTGGATGACAAAGCAACATATCAGAGCCGATAATTGCATTAACTTTTGCTTCAATTAAAATTTAAAAAGCAGCGCACAATCAGGCTAAAAAATTGGGATAATTATTTTAACAACATAGTTTGCGCTCCGATAAAAACCTGAAAAAAGATGAATATTAACAAAATGCGTTTGAAACGCCCTCTCATCTAAATCTGGGATTTAGAGACTTATTTTTTCAACCGTTTTCAGACATTTAAGACGGAGACACTGTGGAAATTTTTATATTAAAATTTTTCAGCCAAAATACGCCATAAATTTCAGCCGATTTAAAATTGAGACATTTTGTGGCCGAGTTGTCTCAATTTTCAATTGGCTGAAGTGTCTTTGTCTCAATTTTCAATTGGCTGAATCTCGTGGCATTTTCCCGAACTGAAATAGGGCTTTAAAAATTTTAATAAAAAAAAAATTAGTATGGTTTGAAATCTGGTCCCAATTTGAAGCCCATTTTGAGATGAAATTAGAAATGGTAAGCTTTATCATTGAGCCGATTATAATTAAAAGAAGACTGCTCGTATATCAAGGTAAAACTGCCTTTTAACTGGCAACCAATAGTTTTTGTAGTTTTTTTGATAACCTCAAGTTTTGGATGAACAATAACAAATATTAAACGTTAAATTACAAATGTAAAATGTTCAGTCGTAAAATAAATTATATGACTCATTAGCTTGCCAGATTTCAATAGTTATGGACGAGGGAATGATCTGTTTTACAATTTCCTGTACGCTTTCAGTGCCTAAGAAAAAACAAGACTGCTCGTATGAGGACGAAGCCTTCAAATTTCCGACAGCCTTTTATGGTATGTAGATTAGTGTCGCTTTTAGAAGTTGGGTGATTTTTTATTTAAGAAAACAAAACAAAAAACAGGTTTAAGTTTTTTTTAATAACTTTTCCCTAAAAAGTGAAAAAAGATTTCTCGTATCAAGGCAAAACCCTGAATGTTCCGACTGCCTTTTTAAACTTATGGAGCAGCAATAACATGAAAAAGTCAATGGTAATAAAAAAAAATTAAATTAGGACTTGTTGTGAAAATCATCCCCCCACACGCCATTAAAGAATGAATTGATAAATTTCGCTCAAAGTATTGAATCAATTATAGCAAATAAGCTTCCGTCCAATTTGGAACAATTTCTAAGACGGATTAAATCTCCGCTGGCGCATTAATAGCGCAAAATATATCGCGCGTTAATTGTCCCAAAGTGGCCAAAATGGCAATCTTTAAAACCCCATAACCTAAAAAAAATGATCACACGTAAATATATTTCCAAATTTGAGCTCAGGAGAACAATACTTTTTGAATGATGCAAAAAAAATTCAGTCGAAAATGGCTCGATAAAAAGTCGAAGCTTGGCTGAAGAAAAAAGGCCACCGGAGCACAAAAATTCTATAATTTCGTTTTGAAAGTCGGGACAATAATAAATAGACCAGAGAGCTTGATTGAATTCAGTTTACAATGAGTTTTAAGAGGA